GGCTACATGTCTTCTTTTTGATTATAATAACCTGGCGTCATGTATGGCCTTATGTTTCAACTGTGGTGGTAATGGGTAGACTGTCATTCCACCACTGTTACTTAGTTTTGTTTACATCATTCCACGCCCGGCTAAATAGGGTGTGTACACAGACCATTGACAAATGCTTCCCAGTCTGTTTACCTAAGCTTTAATACACTCCCTGGCAGCAAGGAGTGTAATTTGAAAGATATTTTCTATAGGTTAATCCTAGTCTTCTAGCAGTAGTTACAATATTCGAAGTTTAGGATCATTATAGTATGCGTGATTATTATAGTAGTTATGATCTGTTTCATTATTATAATCAAAACAAAGCGCTAAACCTAGTAGGGTCATAAGATAAGATAAGATTTCGTTCGGATTTTTAACCCCGGAGGGTTAGCTACCCAGGATAACCCAAGAAAGTCAGTGCGTCATCGAGGACTGTCTAACTTATTTCCATTGGGGTCCTTAATCTTGTCTCCCAGGATGCGACCCACACCAGTTGACTAACACCCAGGTACCTATTTGCTGCTAGGTGAACAGGACAGCAGGTGTAAGGAAACGTGTCGAAATGTTTCCACCCACCGGGAATCGAACCCGGGCCCTCCGTGTGTGAAGCGGGAGCTTTAGCCACCAGGCTTCAAACTTTAAGCTCTGGAACGTATTTTTTTCTGAAAGCATACCAGGAACCTTTGCACTGATTATAAACTGCATCGAAAGCAAGTTTATTATTGCTCTCAGGCTGTGCAGGCTTTAATTTGCCAGTTTTATTAAACTGGTTTCCGTGCAACAAGTGGAGAATTTATCTTCGATCAGCTTGAAGATATTAATTAAATCTCGTGTTTCTTGTTTAGATAAAAAATTTGGGTTGATTCAGAACTGTATATATGTCAAGTTTATTAAAATTGAGAAAATTAACAAACTGATTTTCAGGCGATATTTTTGGAATGCCACATCTTTCCAGTTTTCAAGTCTCAACGCCGATAACTTGAACACAAGTGAGCAGCTTTAAACTTAGTCTTGAGTATTTTGGAATATTGGTTTCTGAGAGAGAACTTGAGAACGCATCTGCTGCTTGGCATCAAACTATCAAAGTTGGCGTATCTTAGCGGAAGGTTCGGATTCGATTAGGGTTATGTAGGTGCCTGTTTACCAGTTTTTATAGAAGAAAATGGGATATTAGTTTTCAGGCGATGACTTCTGACTGACTTTTACTGATTGGCTTCAACTCTTTAGTGTTGATATTCAGCTGCATAACAAACTTATTCCGTACTATGCTGTGTGTTTTGTATGTAATGAAGTATAGAGGTTAGGTTAGGTAAGGTTTGTGGGTCATATGACCCACAGCTGGAGCTTTTGGTTATTTGACCGAGGCCTTCCACTTAGGCCCGGATTAACGCATAGGCAAACTAGGCATTTGCCTAGGTCCCCGCGCATTTGGGGGGCCCGCGGTCCAAGGAGTTCAGGGGCTCATCCAAGACTGCGCACATGATGCTGCAAAGGGGTCCCTACCTAAAAAGTTCAAGTGTTTGGAGAGTAAAATTGATTTTTAAAAATTAATCAAAACAAAAATAATGAAATAAAATAAAATAAAAATAAATAAACCTTACCATAGATGGCAACACTCAACACGCCTTTGTTTACATCAGAACAGCTGTGTTTTCCCGCTAATGGGCGAGTATGGGAGATTCCTCACCAATTTTCTGTAGTAATTACACGTTATCTAGTAATACTATGCTGTCTTGAGTTTATTCTCTTTAAAATGCATGATTTAACAAGATAGTTATAATGGCTGTTGGTAAATGGTTTTGGTTGTCTTGATGTACTTTCCCTATTAAATTTAATCTAAATAGCCAGAATGTATTTAATTAGACAGGCTCACACCGACCCCCCCACCCCCACCCCCAAGCTGGAAGGGGTCGCTTCGTTTACCCGTAACTCAAAGGGGCCCCGCCAATCTGAATAGCCTAGGGCCCGGAGACTTCTTAATTCGGCCCTGCTTCCACTGGCTTACCAGGTCCACCCCTTTAAAAATCATGGTTATAGGCGCTGGGTTTATGGAGGGATAACTTTGCTCGATAGCACAACCAATGAAGCACATTCATTTCGCTTTTATATTAAAACCATGTTGACAGTCCTCAGGAACTTCTCGTGTGGGGAATTACCTGCAGGAGGTTTACAGGGTATTACCTGAATTATTTCCTGCAAGTAATTTGGGTGAGTTAAGTGGGACTTAGTCACAGTATGTCGCTGAACTGTCACTCCCTCGATGCCCACTCCCTACCACTCACAAAAAAGCTAGACCTAACATTAAATTAATAATTATAATATTAAACATTAATACCAATAATGGTAAATTATGAAATAATATGGACTGTATATGATTTAAGGACCTGACTGTTAGAAATGGTTAATTTGAATATTTTTACAGAGACTAGGGAAGGTTTTTCTCCTAATCTTATCATTAGAACAATAAATTTTATACACTAACTTACCATTTGTCACAGGAAGACAATGCTGATGGAACACATACTAACATTACCCTAACAGCTAGAATTTACGAAGGCCAACACAATAACTACTGTACATTATGGGTAAGCATCACTTAGCTAAGGTGTGTTGCTGGGAAGGATTGGAGTCCTCTATTTTTTCCCTCCTTGATGCTGAATTGTAAGGGTTTTCCACACTTTATCCCAATTCTTCAGCAGGAACGTGTCAGCAATTTCTAAATTACTAATTGAGGCCGATATACACCAACTGACCTTCTAGAATGCCTTATTACATTGCACAATTCAGTCCAGTGTTCACGCATTAAATTCATTATGGCGTTTCTCTTCTGCGTTCCTCTGCCGCTGTTCTACAATCCCTCATTCGAAATTTCTCAAAAGGGTCAAATAGCATCACATTTTAATACGCAGTTATTGTATTATTAATTGATATGTTCTATATTTAGTAAAATTATGTATTGCTTACCTCTCAATTTAGCAGATGCCTCCCTGATTTTCCTTTGGGATATTTTGTATCATCTAATATGCCTCGTACTTTCTTCCAACCCGTCTTCAGCATTGTTTTTTTTACTATGAGCATGAAAAGATACTCGAAATTTCGATGTATGATCTGCACTTCTGAACTTAAGCCACCTTTATATATATATATATATATATATATATATATATATATATATAATATATATATATATATATATATATATATATATATATATATATATATATATATATATATATATATATATATGTCCGTTGCCGAATAGGCAGAACTTGCGATCTTGGCTTAAATAGCACCACTCATCTTGCCATATAGGACAAGTGAAAATTTGTGTATGCAATAATTTCGCCAAAATCATTCTGAACCTAACGAAAAAAATATATTTCACTGTGTTGTTTAGTATTAAATTATTGTAAACAAATCTAAAATATATTTAGTTGGGTTAGGCTAAAATAAATTGTTCTTGTTATAATAAGGTTAGATTCTTTTGGAGCAAAATTAAAATTTTTTACATTGACATTAATGACAAAAATATATCTTTAAACGTATAAGAGAAAATTTTAGAAAAGACTTAATTTTAAATGAGTTCTTGCTAATTGACCAGTTTTACATATTCGGCACGACATATATATATATATATATATATATATATTATATATATATATATATATATGTGTGTGTAAATGGGTAATAATGTAAAAGTATAGGTCTGTACATGTTAACATAACATAGCCAAGAATAACGAACATTTAAAGAATAAGTCAAAATACTGTTGCTGGAACAATACACAGTAACCACACGTAGAAGACAAACTTGTGACAATGTTTCGGTCTGACCGTGTAACTAAATGCTCCAAGTCGGACCGAAACGTCGTCATAAGTTTGTCTTCTAGGTGCGGGAAATCTCCATACAAATATTTAAATTACCAAGAAATTTCAGGCATGCAGAATAGGCAGTTCGTATGATAGTGGCTCCCACTGGAAAACAGGTTCCGAGGATTTGGAACCAGTCCATCACTCTTGCCGGCATTTCAGGGAGAAGACAATTGATACGGTTTATATATTCCCAATAATTTAGGTGTTTAAGTAACACAGCTAAAATTCTCTGTACATTCTCCTCGTCTTTAGTTCTGCCTTCATTAAAATGGGCTGTTAGGTAAATAGACAGATGCCACTAATGTGACATTTCATTGTGGCAACGTTTCGCTCTCAGGAGCTTTGTTAAGCTTGATAAAGTTCCTGGGGAGCGAAACGTTGCCATTATTGTTAAAATGGGTTAAGTGTACTCAGGCAGTGGTAATAGCACAATCTCAGTCGAAACATTACTGGTGAGGCATCGAACCCATGGCTTTAAAACTCCCCGGTCTTGAGTTCGATCCCCACTCGTGATGTATTTGATTATTATACAACAATATTCCATTTTAGATTATATAACTGTCTTTAATCATATTTTTCACTTTGTTCAGTAACTGTAAATGATTTATGTAAATTGCTTTGTCAGAACGTTTAGTAATTCATGGTGCTATATTTTTTTTTTATAATCAACACCATCGTTTTGACATTATTATGTATATTTATCATATTGTGTTTGTTGATATATGATTACCATTATTTCTTTTTAGTTTGCTTGAAGAATATGTACACCGAGAAGTTAGGTTAGGTAAGGCTCGTGAGGAAACAGGACAATGCTTCCTGACCAGTAGCTGGAGCTTTTAGTCACCTGACCGAGGCCTTCCGCTGGTTTACCGGTCCGCTCCTTTAAGAATTTCGGATATAATTATTACCATCAGAGTTCTAATAATATATACACCGAGAAGTGTGTATCTGAGTATACACAGTTTACTTTAGTTTCAGTTTCAGGGACTGACGCGTTCTTGACTGGTAGTGAATAGTTGACGAGTAGCTTTAATGACCCTCGTGTAATCGATAGACTTAAATTCCATAAACCGCCACATGAGTAATAAACCAGGAGTATGATAGCAAGCCAAATTTTATTTGTACTAACTCACAAGGCGAGCAGTAAGCTGAGAGAAGCTGACTACAACACAAGTGACTGGTGGGAGTGAGGAACATGGGTATAACACTGTCACAACCCAGCCTTCCACAGGCTCACACAAACATACACACATATACACAGATCTTCGTCACACACATGCTCTTGCATGCATCATGTGCATAGAGCATGCTGAGCAAGGAAGACGGCTACATACAGAGGGAAAATTAGCACACTACTTTCAACAGGCAGATAGGATACGACAGTATAAGTTATAACATGCAGATCTAGAGTTGAGAAATAAGTTTGAAGTTGTTGACATAGTATATAAAAAAAAAGAGATAAGAAATTCTAAACTTTGAGTATATTGTAGATTAAATGACTATGTAACATGGTATGACTTAGATGTATATAACGTTAGGAATAATTGAGTTTTCAAACAAAACCAGTCCTTCCCAAAATCATGCAAATATTCGGAGATTATGGAATAATTACCTATTCATGACGTCATGAATTATATACAATATTTACATCAGGTAAGATTGAATAGGACTGGTGATTTTTCCTTCTTCAAACTGACCTAAACTGCTTTCCAATATCTGACGATAACTGTTTTAATCTCCTTCAAGGAATTAGGAAATATATAAGAGAAATCACTAAAAAACAAATGTGACATAGTGGATGGTGGAGTGCACTGTAGCATCTGAGATGGACTTGCCTAGCATAGGCCAGAAGATCTGCAGTATTCCTTCATTCTTATTTTCTTAGTGCGTAGCTCGTAAGTTGTCTTCCAAACTACTCCACACAAGGACCATCGCCACGTAAGATAACAAAAGAAGTATGAGGAGAGGCAGTAAGAGACATCAGGAGCTGTTGAGTTCCATGGTGGTGGTTGTGAAGGTCAGTAGTGTTGTGGTTGATAGTGGTTGTGGCAGCCAGGGTTGTGTGGTGACCGTCTAGGAGCGTCCCTGAGGCTGTGGGGGGTGCACAGGGATCTTGATCTCAATGTTGGTCTGTTCCTCTACGGTGTTGGCCTGTAATGTTACCATTATTATTATTATTATTATTATTATTATTATTATTATTACACCAAAAACAAACACCTAATCGCATGAATAGTGTGGAACATACTCTGAAATGTGCACTACACTATAATATGTTACATACTGTGAATTATAGTGGATTATGTATTGTGGGTTATATATTAGCGAGTGGCTAAATGAGTAAGACACATGTGCAACATTTGGGTATTTTTACATTAATAAACATTCAAGCGTTGCAAATCTCTTATTCATCAGCTTGGTATATGTGTACCATCATTAATGATGCACTTGTCAGACAACTTCATAGCGAGTAGCCGTGTTGTGTGGAAGGTGAAGTTCTGGGGTCACACATACCTGGAAACCATTGACTGGGTCAGCAGTGTAGGAGGTTGTGTATCTGATGCCGTTGGGAGCTATGAAGGAGTACACTCCCTGTACCACTCCGTTGGCGTCCTGACTCTCCTGCCGGGACTGGTAGTTTGTGAACTCATCGTCCGCCACGTTCAGGCTGAATTCGTATGGTTCGGGGGTGTCCTGTGAGAAAATGGAATGATAGATAGATAATGGAAGGTAATGAAGATAAATACCAGGTAATAACAATGGAAGGCAGCGAAATAGGCGACTCGCATGCTACGCTGGCAAAGTATAAAAACATGGTTTTCAAATATATAGACAGAGAAATGCTAGAAAGGTTGTTTGTAACTTGTTAGATCAAAATTTGAATATGAAGCGGCTGTGGTGCCCACACCTTAACAAAGAATAGTTAGGAAATAGTTGCCAGAGTTAAAGAAAAATGAGTTGGTTGATACGAGGAGAGGGGAGACAACCACATAAAGGTCATAAAAGGACAAGAAAGAGTAGGTGAAGATTTATTAGTAGTTGTAATGGGGATAAGAAGCCACAGTTGTAAATTAATGGAAAAGTGGAGCAAATGGAATGGTATAACGACGGAATGAATTATGGGAAGATAGTAAAAGCTGTAATCATGGGAACTTTAAACAAAATATGAGAAAAATTACTGAAGATGAGACACCACGAGCACGACTCTGCTTGTAACCACAAATAAGTAATCACAGAGACATACACATTCACAACATGTCAAGTGTCTCTGACACTGGTAACTAACACATACACACACACACACAAACAGGGACTTACCTCAGGATTCTCAAGTTTGTTACTGAACTGTTGTGGCGCAGAGAGAGCTACACCCACCAAACACAGCAGCACGAACACCTGTAACACAACACCTGCATGTTAGTAATACAAGAAAATGATCGACTAGGCCTCCTGCACCCTTTAGGGGTACAGGAAGCCCTTAGCTAGCCTTGACGCTGCTGGAAGGTTCTTCAACCAAGTAATTGGAACACTCCCCTTCCTCGGATTAAACAATTACCTACCATGCCTCACACACACAATAACTTCTACGTGTTTAGCGCTTCTCCATGAAAATAATCATGTACAAGTGGAAGATACAGTTACTGTGGAAAATACTGTATATATTTTCCGGAAATACGGTAATTTATAGATAAATAGATGCCCTATATTGTATTTTTAAAAGAAGTATGTTATCGAAAATGGGAAACCTGCGGCTGGGGAGGTCAGTCGCCATTTTGGTTTTTGAATTGGGTACAACGTTAGTGTAATGGGAAGGAATTTTCGTGCTCTAAAGGTTAAAATTGGGCTGACATCTCTCAAATAGGAGGCGAAATTGTTGGATGTGCATTCCTGCATAACTTGAGATATCAGGCGACAGGACAGGACAACTCCAGGAACCTCAGATAAGTTGTCTAATTTATGTTTAATTTCTGGCCAGTAAAATTTTCATAAATGTAAGCAAAAGGGGGGGGGAGTCCTGTACATGACACATTAATCTCCAGTCAAATTGGTGAGTGATATTAAGATATATTTTCCTTCTGCTATGTAATTGTGTATATATATAACCATTTATTATTTTTAATATACAGTCCACAAATTTATGTATTTACCAGCATTCCTGGTATATGTATATTTCATTTAATTAATAGGTCCAGAGCAACTTGTGGATGACAGTGGTAGGTATCGAAGGGGGACATTTTTTGCGACCTAAGTGTCCCAAATTCCTACTTGTCTAACTGATAAATAATAGTTATCGTTGTTCATTTACTGTTATGTATATAATTATACATCCAAGTAAATGCAATTTTCCACAGTTACAGTGATGTATTGTACAGTGGAAACTAGTCACACTGATGTATTATAGTGGAAGCTACAGCCACATTGATGTATCTTACAAGTGGAAGATACAGCTACACTGGGATTACATCCCATTCCCCAGTGGCTGTATGTCCTACTAGTTTATCACTTCCCGTGAGTAAGATATTAATTTCTGACACCAAACCAGTTTAAAAAAAAATCTGACATTTTCGAGTGTTTCTAAGAGTTAACAAGGTTTTAAAACCCTGAGAAAAAACGGAATGTCATTAACAGTGCCTTCCAGGTCACTGTACCTCACAGTAAGAGAGAGCTTTCACCGCCTACTGTCTAAGACACCGAGGAATCCATGCCCAGCTGGTTGGTTAATTGGATGCATAGCCTATCGACTACTCCAAGGATGATTCAAGGCTCCATGTCACCCGTTCACTACCCGACAAGGGTTATTAAATTCTTTAGATAGGATTAAAATAACTTAACGTACAACATGCTGTATAGGATTAAAATAACTTAACGTACAACATGCTGTATAGGATTAAAATAACTTAACGTACAACATGCTGTATAGGATTAAAATAACTTAACGTACAACATGCTGTATAGGATTAAAATAACTTAACGTACAACATGCTGTATGACCCTTGTGGGTTTAGTGCTTAGTTTTGATTATACTAAAGTATGGCATACAACACTGGGAAATGTATCCCTTTTAGTGTGTATTTCCTTGCAATGACTTGTCCCCTTTTTGTTTGTAAAATATAATTTTCTCGATAGATGTCGACATTTCATACTAAGGCTGTTCATAGAGCCAAGATAAAAAACAGTAAGGAGGAAGGGAATAACATATACTATGGCTGGGGTTGAAAACATGACTACATGGGGGTCATGTAAGCTGCACAAAATCCTTAAAATAGGGATTAAACTCTTAGCATATATTCATTAAAGAAATAGACTTCTCTGTGTATATAAATCCTCATGTACCACGGTTAGGACTTACCTTCATATTGTCTTGTGTGAGTTGCAATGACTATTGTACACGCTGAGGACTGGAGTACCACTGATGATTCTTCCCGGGATCACCCGCCTTATATACCCTGGTGGCGGCGCCCGATTTTTCCCTTTTTCTTTAATTTTGTTTGCTAGCGACCTGACCCAGCCAGGCCCCGGGACGACCTATTCTCCAGTCCTGAAACCCGTCCCAGGTCAACTTGACTGGTCTTCAATACAGGTCTCCTTGGCCACGCCCTGCTTTTATTTACGAGGTAAGATATGTTTAACTCACAAACAATAATCAAGTTAAACAATTATAAACCAGTTTGTGAGGTCAGTTCATATTGTGGTAGTATGTCGGTGATCTTTTATGGGAATATAGCCTTGGAATGTAAAATTCACAATGTAAACACCAGAATGTAGGCTTCAGAATGTGGGTCTCAGAATTTTAGGTCTCATGATATAGGCTTTAGAATGTAGACTTCAGAATGTGGGTCTCAGAATTTTTGGGCCTCAGAATCCAGGGTTTAGAATGTAGGCTTCAGAATGTGGGTCTCAGAATTTTAGGTAACAGGATGTAGGCTTCAGAATGTATCCCTCAGAATGTAGGCTTCATGATGAAGGCTTTAGAATACAGGCCTCCGAGTTCATATGAACGGCAAGCGAAATTATTGGTATAAATGTCGCTGGTAGGACAACGGGTAACCACGAGATGCAAATATTTGCTTCAAGTCTGAGTGTTTAGCCATGCAAACAGGAACGAAAGGCAGGTAGTGTGTGACATGTATACCGGGAGCTGAACCTCTGTTCTTGTAATTTCTAAGCCTCCGTCCTTGCAATCACTAATCCTCCGTTCTTGCAATCTCTGAACTTCCGTCCTAGCAATCACTAAATTTCTGTCCTTGTAATTTCTGAGCCTCCGTCCTTGCAATCACTAAACGTCCGTCCTTGCAATCACTAAACCTCCGTTTCTGAACTTCCGTCCTTGCAGTCATGAATCCAGAATTCTTCCGAGTCAGCATCAGTTTACAAAATAATTGTGTGCGGGTAGCCTCATCTTTATTTTGGAAAATTCAATTATTGGTAGGAGGGCTCACGGTTTGTGGGTAGATGATTTGTGGGATGGTAAATGGTCTGTGGGAGGGTGGACGGTTTGTGGGAGTGTCAACGGTTTGTGAGAGAACTAACGGTTAATGGTTCAAGAGAAGGCGGCAGGAAGGTGGGCGGTTAGCGGGGAGAGCGGATGGTCGGGCATTATACCTGGTAACCCTGAGTATAGAAAGGGAAGGTTGGCCTGTCTTCACTACCTGGTTTATAGTCCCACTGAAGTGCTTCACTCCTGATACAGTCCACCTTTTTTTTTTATTATTAATTTGTCCACTCTGGCTGCGGACACTCATATTCAAGTTTCACGAGGGTGATTAATGGTGGACACTGGAGTTTTATAATCTGTTGGTCTATATTTTGCCTCTTTTTTTTTCTGCTGTTGCTTGTTCTTCCTTTCATTTTCTTCTTCGTCTTCTTTTGTTCTTTTATTTTTTTTCGAATCTTCATTAGTTTTTTTTTTTTTAATTGTTTTAGTTCTTGTTTATCTGATATGGTTTCTTCTCTCTACTTTTTTACTCAACTTCCTTCATTTTTCTTTTTTCCTTCTTTCTCTTTTTTCCCCTAATTAATATGTAAATTTTCATCGAATATTTCCCACTGAGGGAGAATGACCCAAAGAAAAAAAAGCACATTCACCATCACTCACTCCCCAGCTGTCATTTCAGAGGTGCACATAAGATCTAGTGACCGACCCAACTGCAGCATCACCACTACATGCTTCACAGGGCAGGCACTGTACTTGTCACCACCAACACTCAGCTCCTGTTAACCAGTTACCCAGAATTCCTTTATCGAAACTGCATTGCTCTCCAGCAGTATGTCAAGACCCCCCAAAAATTATTTGACACTCTCACACATGCTTACTTCATGTTGTAAGTCCTACCTCTTAAAACATCCTTTACTCTCTCAATTCAACCTTTTCTAAGATGTTCCCTACACCACCCTCCATCCATCGCAGATTTATACACCCTTTCGATCAATCTGTCTTGCCCTGTCTAATCTAAATGAACAAATTATCTCAACGGCACTTATTTCGTTTATTAATTATAATTCATTTATCCCACCACACAGTTTTCTAATTTCTTCACTCTTCATTTACATAATATTTGCATCATGCATTAACCTCAAACTCAGTATCACCACTGCTTCTATCCTCTTCTCGTCACAACATTCTCCAGTGTGGTCATTCTTAATATTTTCATACATTCTCCTTTTTTTTGGGCATCCACTGACAAATTCCTGTCTTTCCTGAGGCTTTCAAACCTTTCCTCCTGTCTGATCTCTGATTCACCTTCTCTTTCATAAGCCCAACTGTTAGCACATCCTCTAATAAATTTATAAATGCACTCACTTCCTCCAAACACACATTCCTTCCAGTCTGACTTTCAGTTCTTCCTTCTCTATACTTCTTACTCTCATCAGGCTTTTTTCCTCTTTTCACGTTTAACTTTACGTTTTTTACACACCCAGCTGCTGCGTCTTTTTTTGCAACTTCTCATCTGAGACTTCCACGAGCGTTGTGTCACCGGCGAAAACCAACTGTTGCAATTCCTTCTGTATTTGAGACATTAACTTTAAGGCCATGCTTCTCTCTCACACTGCTGTTCTCTGCTTTTACAACAGCATCTGTAAAGACATTATACAACCACAGTGACATCATGCATTCCTCTCTAAGACCTACTTTTTCCTAGAAAATATTCACCTTCTCGCCCACATATTCTAAGAGCCTCACTATCATCATTAAAAGCATTGTATTTTAGAATATCTTATCTGTTGTTTCGTACATTTGCAACATCAGTCGCATCATTCCTTCTCCACACCGTCCATAAATAAAAAAAGCAACTTCCTTACTCTATATAAGCACTGTACTGCTTACATGACACATAGCAAACACTTGATCCATACACCAAATTTTTCTTTCAAGTGCTTCCCTAGGATCGGTCTTGGGTCTACCTTCGTCCTCTACATTACAGTGATTAAGCATGATCTCTGTCATTCTCAAAGCACCTTCTATTTTTTTAAATACATTAAACACATGCGCCTGCTACTGCAAGTCAATATTCAGAATGAAATTAAGCAAAGTCTAGTTACACCTTATTATATTGTGTATGCATGAGGTATGTTTATTAGAAAACGTTTCGATAAAACACAAAGAGGGACTGGTTACCTTATATTCAACACTGCCGCTGCTCATTTAGTACTTTCTGATACACGACTTAATTTCTTTAATTCCCTCATTCAAACGCCCTTGCCGTTTCAAGTTTTATTTTCATTCAGTGCGAGGACATTCAGTTTTTATTGATACTATTAACAATAAATTTTTGACTGTATTACGTATATGCACATAGATGCCTTCGTTTTCTATTTTCAATAAAGGAGAATGGGGTTAAACACCCCTTCTCTCCATTATTCCCGGTAATTTAGTCACCTTCTACGACACGTATGGTTTACGGGGAAGGAATTCTAACTGAGGGGGCATTAGAAAGGAAGCATTTCAGAAGCAACAATTATTACGACTTACTCGGAGAAGATAACTATTGAAAGTGAAAGGGGTTGGAATTATATATTTTTTTCCTCCATCCTTCGCATTCTGGCTAGAGTGCAAAACGTTTACCAGGTTTCCCGTTCACACTCGCATGAGAGAAATGCAGTACCTCCCTGGACAGCTGCTGACCACCTACACAGAGATGACACGACATATAGGAAGATGAATTATCAGCCAAGGCGGAAAATGAGGAACATAAGATTGAGGCGAATGTGTGTGTTCACTCAACCTTCTTTAGAAGCAACTGAAGTATAAAGAAACAAGAGATAGGTAAAAGGAAATAATGTAAGATGCATACAAATGCCAGTGATGTGAGGCGAATACAAATGTTGTAAACTGAGTTCAAATATTGTAAGGTGAATACGTATATGTTGTGAGGTGAGTACATACGCTGTGAGGTAGGTCCAGATAATGTAAGGTGAGTACATATTATGTAAGACGAGTACAGAAGATGAAAGGTTGATGACTAACAATTTCCTGCTATTTTCACAAATGAATTACTAGAGCCAACAGAGAGCAGGTTAACAATAACAAAGGTGAACACACCATTACTTGTGTTACACTCATCAGTAACTGGTCTAAGACAAGCTACCGATGAGTGCCATTGACTGTGGCCTCCACTCCAGAACAGACACCTCATGGAGCGAGCAGGGTGGTATGGTGTGAACCTTGGCAGTAGATATCGACAGTTTGGTTTAGAAAAACACGTAAGCAAACGGTTGGACGTATTAGAAAGCGTTTAGGCCCTGAGACCTTGATCACTTCTAACATACAAAGGTTCAAAAGATAGTATATATAGGCTGAAACGTTTTCTAATAAATATTTTTTAATGTTTATTTACTGTCTCAAATTCCTTAATAGAGAGACGATGAATTTAATATATGTGCAACACCTGGTTTTCAAAATGAAGATACTCTTAGGTGTTGCTTCATCACTGCCCAGTGTTGCTTCACTCAGTACCTGGTGCTTCACTACCCAGTGTTGCTTCACTCAGTACCTGGTGCTTCATCACTGCCCAGTGTTGCTTCACTCAGTACCTGGTGCTTCACTACCCAGTGTTGCTTCACTCAGTACCTGGTGCTTCATCACTGCCCAGTGTTGCTTCACTCAGCACCTGGTGCTTCACTACCCAGTGTTGCTTCACTCAGTACCTGTTGCTTCATCACTGCCCAGTGTTGCTTCACTCAGCACCTGGTGCTTCACTACCCAGTGTTGCTTCACTCAGCACCTGGTGCTTCACTACCCAGTGTTGCTTCACTCAGTACCTGGTGCTTCATCACTGCCCAGTGTTGCTTCACTCAGTACCTGGTGCTTCACTACCCAGTGTTGCTTCACTCAGTACCTGTTGCTTCATCACTGCCCAGTGTTGCTTCACTCAGCACCTGGTGCTTCACTACCCAGTGTTGCTTCACTCAGTACCTGGTGCTTCATCACTGCCCAGTGTTGCTTCACTCAGTACCTGGTGCTTCACTACCCAGT